GTCCTTCAACTAACCTTAGCGGGAAGGACTGACAACGGTGGAATATGTTCTCTTTCTCTAAAAACAAACCCATTTTGAACATTTCTTTTACCGGTCCATTACCAAGTAAGAAAGTTTGTTATGATGCCAAGCCAACTCCTACATAGAGCAAGCACTTCTGACTTTTTTCTTGCATAGTTATCTAAATTATAGATAATAATACTTTGATTTTATTTTAAAGAACATTTTCTCTTGTAAAAACTACTTATTTTATCGACCAACTATCCATATTGTCCTCCTACATGCTTAGACTTCGCCAATCTGCATCTCAATCTTTTATAACGGTAGTTCTTTCAGCTGTGTAGCTTCTTTTTGGCCAATCCGCTGGTACCGGTACCACTTAGCGCTTCTATTTCGCATTGGGACTGGTTCTAGATACATAATAAGCGAATAAAATAAATTTAAACGCGCCCAAAAGGAGTGTAAGAAGAAAGTTTTTGAACGTCCGCATCTTTATGATTGCCTGCAAAAAAATCGCGAGTTTGTTGACCTTATAGCTGTTTGATTTAATTATTGTAGTTAAATCGCTAGATAATTAGAAAAAGGTGATGTCGTCACTTTTTAAAAATTGCTTTTTTTCAATTACATTTTTAAACTGTACTAATTAAATATCTTTTTTTTTAATAGGTTTATTACAAATTAGCTGATGACATTTGCCCATTTCACATTGTACAGGGTGTCCCATTTTTAGCCCTATTGTTATTATTAGTTAGCCCCAGTTTATTATTAACTTTTATTTGACTTATTATACAGGGTTAATCGAAGAGTTGTTTTGCACCATGTGCAATAATTTCTTGGGCGGATTTTTCTACAACGTTATTTTTCGGTCAGAACCATGTTTCCTGAATATTTTGTTTTTTTTAATCATGGCAACACATACCTTGGTTAATTTTTAAGAGCAAAATGAATTTGCCAGAAACACTTTGCAATTTTTTTTAATTATCGTTACTTTTTAGGGTTCCGTACCCAAAGGGTAAAAACGGGAACCCTATTACTAAGACTTCGCTATCCGTCCGTCTGTCACAAAGGTCTATCTTATCAACCGTTATAGCTAGACAGTTGAAATTTTTAGAGATAATGTATCCATGTTGCCGCTATAAAAACAAATACTAAAAACAGAATTAAATAAATGTTTATAAATAAAAAAGTACTTTCACTAAACATTATCTTTTAAGTAAGAATTTTACCTCGGTGGCCGCGTGGTTTAAAGCGTTAGGCAAGTTCGAATCCTAGTCAATGCGAGTTTATTTTAATCGTTTTTTTTTAATTTTTACGTATTTTTACATATTTATTATTGATTAATACAATTTTGAGTAATGTGTTTCTTCATTTTTTTTAAATTACTTATACGCGCATTCAAAATTTCAGCTAAATCGGAAAAAAAGTTTATAATAATATAGTGTCTAATATTGCATAGATAATGAATGGTACAGAACCCCCAAACCAACTTTTTAATAAATATTAAATTAAAACCAAGCCTGTATCGTTACTTTTTAGCGTTTTTTAAATTTTTATGTAAAGTTCTAATCAGTGTCGATATGACATTGAGACAATAGTCACCAAAGTTGAAAAAATTTGGTAAATTGTTGGTGGCAAATTCATTTCGCTTTTAAAAATTAAGCAAGGCATGTGTTGACATGAGTAAAAAAAGAAAATGCTGAGTAGACATGGTTCTGACCGAAAAATAACGTTGTAGGAAAATCTTCCCACGAAATTATTGCACCAGGGTGTTTTAAAAATAGCGTAAAAAACAACTCTTTGATTAATCCTGTATAATAAGTCAAAATTATAAAAAAACTTAGTTTAAGAATTAAACTTGATAGATTTATATACAGTTTGGTAAAAAAATTCATGAAAATAGCACTAAATGTAAAAAAATATCACACTTGACAAAAAAATTCTTCATTGCGTTTTTTTTTGACATCTGAGTGTAAAAAGATTAAAAAAGAATCGAATATTTTGAGACACACACCACAAATGACATAATTATGATTTTTTCTTGATTTTATCACTTACTTTTGTGTAGTAACTGAGAAATATCTAACTGGCATTTTTACTTACAGTATATAAAAAAATATTTTTTTCAGAACTAAAAATTATCACCTATTGATCCGATGGCGATGGTGCCAGGTCACGCTCATGCCTTAAATTTTGGGGCTCCAAAACAGCTGTAAGTCACGAAACAAGATCCCTAAAAAATTACTTTCTGAAATATCCAAATTTATTAGTTTTTGTATGTTTATTTAACGATCTTGCACCAGAGGTCAGGGTCGACATTAATGACATGCAATTTGGATAAAACATCTTCCTCAGTTTGTCATTCAAAGAACAATATTTTTTATTTCCAACTAGATATAAGCTTTTTTCGTTTTCCTGTTATTACTGATTCTGAACCGTCATAGAACTGTGATGCGTATGCGCAGAAGGAAATATGAAGACATTATTTCATTTGCGCATGCGCTGCAGAGTTCTAGGACGGTTTAGAATCGGTAATAGGAAAACTAAAAAAGCTATATACTAGGGCTGGCAAAGCTTAGTCTTGGGTCCAGATTTCCAGATTGGTATGTAAGAAGAGTACAATGCGTTTATAATGTACTGAACAAAGAGAGGACAGTAAACACGTTGCCAAACGTACGAAATAAACCGAAAAACTGTGCACATATTGCTAAGAGACGTGGAAGCGGATATAGCAGATTTGTCGTAGTCGAGCGGCCGACCCAATCAGTACCTCTGTCAGTACTTAAAGTTCTAGGGAAAGGTGTATATCATGCGTTCAGCTTCACGATTTAATTACGTCTCGTGATACTTAATTTGTTTATTTATTAACGAGTCGTTGTAATTTTCCCTATAGCTTGACTTTTTTAAGAGCAAGTTAGAAACACTTGCATTTTTGGTAAAAATAAGTGGAATTGAGTGGGTTTCAAAAATCGATATCTCGAAATCTATTAGAAATAATAGATTGTAGTTTTTCCAAGAACTTTGTTAATATTTCTGCTGTATTTTCTTTGTAGACAGTATGTGAAAATCTTCATCAATAAAAAAATTACACGATTGCTAAAAATTGCTATGCTCTAAAAGTAATGTAATGGATGGATTGTTTACAATTTTTGAATGGAAAAAACAACCTTATCGATTTTTTCTTATGTAAACATATTGTAAAATATCCGATCTTGAAAATAAAAAAAAGTTTCAATATCTAAAGTGGTTCTTGAGTTATGGCCTGTTATGTGTTAAAAAGTTGAGTTTTTAAATTATCGCGATTACTGACGTTTTCTCGTTATAAAAAAAATGACACCTTAATGATATCCTTATAATTCCATTTCAGATGCTCAGAAACATGTCTAATGATTTGATCTAGTTATCTCTTTTAAAAAAAGTCTTTTAAAAATAAGCGGTTTGCGATCGTGATTTTGCTTTACTTGATAGGGAGTGGCGTATCGGCAACGCCGCAACAGCACACCGTCGCGCGTCGCGTCGGTCGGTCGCATTTCTCTCACTCAGACTTAATAAGGTCCTTATGCGATTTACTTCCACACATGTAAATGCCGACCCAAAAGTAACAGTTGCCAGCACGGTATAATGTTGGCATTACTGATTTTTTTTACAGTATTTTATTTTCAAAATGAAATATTTTATACCAACTTTTGATTCATTGTGTGGGTGTAAATAAAATAAGGATACGAACCTCGGAGGAAAGTTTACCTTACTGTCTCGGGAATTTAATCTCTCGTTAATCTCTGGACAATACGAGAGTTGTGTTTTATATTTTGCACATAGAGGTAAAAAAAACAGTAGATAACTTTTAAACACTATTTATTATTTTTCGAAGTATTCTCCACGAAGGGGAATGCATTTTTGCTTCATTTCGAAGCATTTCTGGAAACAATTATTCCACTAGCCAGTTATTCCTAGGAGTAGCTACTCGCTACAAATCGAAATAAGTAGACATAACTTTCAAAGTGGTATAATGTGCTTACCAATCAAACCTACTTCTCTGGATGCAGTCAAGGGTTATAAAGGACCTTTATTGTCACGTTCTCGTTTAAAATAGTTTATCAGGAAAGCTACAAGCTCTCTGCTTCGACTGTTTAAATGTTTCGGCATATTTTCAACACACAATTTCAAGAAATGCAATACAAAAACTCGAAAATTTAGTTCTTAAAAGAACTCTTTGTTCAAATACAATTTTTAAAAAAAGACTATAAAAATTGGCCATAAAAATGAGAATTACTCCTAAAGATTCAACAAGAACACAATATTATACAAAATAATGACTGACATTAGGATAATTGACAAATAATAAACGACAACGTTGCTGATCGCGGCGGAATGTGACCAACATGGCGATAATACAAATCGTTTTAAACTAATTTTTGCAGCTTTAATCTAAATAAAATATCTGTTACAATAATTTGCTCTATAAAGTAAAATGAAGAACTGCTCGGTACATTAAATTATACAACAAATTTAAATATTTTTGCCAAAATTTTATTTAGTCAGGTTTATAGGCTTTAATATCAATTTCGATTATAGTCTGTCCAACGATAAGATCCTTGACAGTGATAGATGTGTCTGCCATTTTAATTTCAAAGTAGTTTATTTTATCTTACAAAGAAATACGTTGGTATAACTGGAACGCATAGCAGGAAATAAATATATTTAAAATTTGACTGATAAGTGATTACTTCAAAATATTGTGAAAAAAAACTGTAGGATTACTATAAAACTGAAAAAATGTAATGGAGTTATTTTATTAAAAAAAAACCCTATGTGTTAATACAAAACAAACAAGAACTAAAATAAATAGATTGGTATGGGACGTCATCTGATTTTCTTCTGCCATCGTCTGTCGAAATCTTACCTGAAAAAAAAAACAGAGTATACTTAATTGATGACGTACATCGGAAAATGTTTTGCGATTACCGTATGCTATTATTTATTTGTTTTTCTTTGAATTGCAGCTCACTCCCGAAGACGAGGAACGTCGCAGACGTAGACGAGAACGAAACAAGATCGCGGCCACCAAGTGCCGGCTGAAGAAGCGCGAACGCATCGCCAACCTGATGACGGAGTCGGAAACGTTGGAGACGCAAAACGTCGACCTGAAGAACCATCTGCGGGAGCTGAAGAACCAGGAACGGCTCTTGATGGAGATCCTGACGGTGCACAGGTGAGTTTGGCGAAATCGATGCCTTATAGTTTGTGTAAGGGCCGACCCTGCGTGTTACAGGCCTCAGTGTCAGCACGAGATCGGGCCAGCTACCAAAGAGAGTTTGTACAAGTTACCCCCGGTGGCGTCGGTGATGGAGCAGCATTCCTATAGTAGAGCGGCGCAAGACAGCCCGCCTGATTTTCGAAGTCAACACATGGAGGTACGTATGAAGTCATATATAAAACATACATACATACATATAGAATGTTCAGCCACCATTGAACGTCACGTTATATCTTGTCGAACTCTCTCAATCACTTGCCAACCAGATGAAAGAGCTTGGGGACGTCATTACGGCATTTCTTAAATTTCATTGCAATTCAATTGCATATTCTTTTTAGTAATTCTCATTGTCATTTGATTTGGGGTCAGTGGCGGAGATAGAGGGGGACCCATGGGACCCTGCCCCCCCCCCCCCAAGATCTATAAATTGGGTTAATTATTAAGTTCTTGGGTTAAAAATGGCGCTCTAAAAAGCATATTCTACATTACCTTTTATTTGGCTCCCCCCTAAAATATATTCCGGCCCCCCCTAAAATAAATTTCTGTATCCGCTCCTGTTTGGAATTATAATTGTATTTCAAACTGCAGGAAAGAGGATTGGGTATTAGATACAAATACGACGGCGGTCTATTCAACATAGACTCAGGGCAAAAACACGTACAGGGTGTCCCACTAAGCTCTCGGCTGTATCTCGGAAAGTATTAGCCGTAGGGGCTGCGGAAAAAAATATTTATAACTAAAGAGGCTATGAGAAATTGCTGGAAATTATTTTCAAGTTTGTAGAACGACCGCTAGGGGGCGCAACTGCAACAAAAGATAAGAACGGAGTTTTTACACAATTTTGCCTAGAGAAGTTGTACTATAAGTAATATCTTCTTAATCTTCAGTAAATTTTGAATATTTTTTGTTAGAGCCATTTTCCCCTATCTACCAAAATAAAGTGGTGGGGGAAAGTGAGATCTATTTTTATTTGAATATTAATAACTCTGTACTGGATGATCGGAATCCAACCAGCGAGGGCTCGTTTAAAAGAGCGTTTCTTTCTCTATATTGTACCATATAAACAATAATAATAAACTTTTGAACGTAGACTCTAGGGGGTGTTGTGTTACAATTTAACAAACATTGCGCGTTTTTTCAAAAAAATTAAATGCAATAGTGTATGTAATTTTAGCTGATCGTAAAGAGTAGTAAAAGATTAAAAAGTCAGCGAAAACCGCATCTTGATATCTTCTTTCAAACCGAATATATTAGCAAAATTAAAATAAATACCAAAAAATAAGCCTTTAATTACCTTATTTTTACAACACGGTATCAGTAGCCTTCTTGATTATGGCCTATTCTAACAAAAAATAAGATAGATGATTGCTTTTTCAAAATGCCAACAACTTCAACTACTTCAAATAATAAAAGCAATAAAAAACGCTGCTAAGGCTATCAAAATGTTGATCTAATAACAATTTGACGTTTATACTATTACGTCAAAAGCAACTTTTGTCCAAAGCCTACCATGACTTCACTGAATCAGCGTTTCTTGTTCACTGTTATTAATATCTTAATTATTAGATATTAATACCTCTGATATTATGGTATTCTGGTATTTCGTCGATTTTAAAATAAACTAACTGTTTCTATCTTATTTTTTGTTAGAATGGGCCTAATCAAGAGGGCTACTGATACCGTATTGTAAAAATAAGGTAATTAAGAGCTTATTTTTTGGTATTTATTATAATGTTGCTAATATCTTCGGTTTGAAAGAAGATATCAAGATGCGGGTTTCGCTGACTTTTTAAGCTTTTACTACTCTTTCCGATCAGCTAAAATTACATATACTATTGCATTTAATTTTTTTGAAAAAACGCGCAATGTTTGTTAAATTTTAAGACAACGCCCCCTAGCGTCTATGTTCAAAAGCTTATTATTATTGTTTATATGGTATAATATAGAATGAGAAATGCTCTTTTAAACGAGCCCTTGCTTGTTAGATTCCGATCATCCAGTCCAGAGTTAACAGGGATTAACAGATCTAACCTTCCCCCACCACTTTATTTTGGTAGATAGAGGAAAATAGCTCTAACAAAAAATATTCAAAATTTACTGAAGATTATAAAGCTATTACTTATAGTACACCTTATCTAGGCAAAATTGTGTAAAAACTCTATTTTCTTATTTTTTGTTGCAGTTGCGCCCCCTAGCGGTCATTCTACAAACTTGAAAATAATTTGCAGCAATTTCTCATAGCTTCTTTAGTTATATTTTTTTCCGCAGCCCCTACGGCTAATACTTTCCGAGATACAGCCGAGAGCTATTCTTAGTGGGACACCCGGTACAAAATTCATCACAGAACTTCAATACGCTGATGACTGCGCTCTAGTTGCAAAAACGTTACAACAATTACAAGAAATGTTGAACACATATACCTGGGCATACGAGGCTTTAGGCCTTAAGCTGAACATCGATAAAACTAAAATCATGTGCACTCCCCCGGAAGACACAATGCTATAAAAATCGGGGAAGAACTATTGGAATATGTAGCGGAATTCAATTACCTCGGCCATTTGATTTCGGAAAAGGTCAGTATCGACTCTGAAATTCAGCACAGAATTAGCAGCGCCCCAAGAGCATTCTGGAAATTAAAAGATAGGGTTTTCTACAATCATGACTTGGAGCACAAAAACGAAACTTGCAGTGTACCGAGCAATAATAATCCCTACCATGTTATATGGAAGCGAAACCTGGGTGCCGTACCGCCGGCACACAACAATTGTTAATAATCAAATGTTATTACCATGTCTCAAACGTACTGGTCCTTGAAAAGGCTAGCTGTGAGAGTGTTGAAGTCATGATTACAAAATCCTGCTTAAGATCGGCTGGTCACATATGCAGAATGCAAGAAAACCGCCTAGCAAAATCTCTGCTTTACGGTGAGCTGGTAGACGGTAAGAGTAAACCGGGTGGACAACTTAAAAGGTACAAGGATATTTTCCACGAAGACCTAAAGAAGATATAAATACAGAACGAGTGGGAGAAGCAGCGCACAATAGATCGCAATGGAGAAGAACTGTAAACTCAGTTAACAGCGACAACCAAAAAGTAAAGAGGCAACAAAGCAATGAGATTTTAGAATGTCCGGAGTGCTGAAGAGAGATAATATCACGTATCGGGCTTTTCAGTCACAGAAAAGCTCATGAAATAAAACGTCCTGAGTAACTATATCCTGTTGCGTGTCAAATACTCATCGGCGACAAACAAACATTTAATTTTTTAACAAAAATGTTATGGACAATGTGTATTTTCTTTGCCTACTAGTCAAATTATAATAAGTTTAGATATATGTTTGTGAAATCTTAAATGTTACGTTTTTTAACAAGTTAATTTAAGCTGATTAATGCACAAGGACATATTGAAAATGAAACATTCCTCATTAGCTAAAATATATAGCCATTATTAGAAACTATTAAATAGCTTTAAAATAAACATTAAAAGGCTGACTTTGTACGACTCCATAAAAGACTTAAAACCATTTAGCTTGATTGCTTGATATTGCCTACGTACTAATTTAAAAAATAAATGATATTGAACATAATAAGAAATTTTAATAAATAAGTATTATAAATACACGGTGTACCATATAAAAATGCACACTATCTTGTAATAGTCCAGTAAATGAAGGTTGACCGGGACTTTTCAGGCGGACTGTGTACCTTTTGGGAAGTATATAGTTTAGTGGAAAAATTCTAACACCGTCCTGGCCGAAAAATCAGTTTTTCGCAAATATCAGCCAAAATATGCAATTTACAATTATTTCTTAGAATAAAAAATAAAGTTTAGGTAATTATCTACAAAAATGGTCCTTGTCATTTTTTACGTAGAATTAGTAGTTTTTGAGATATTCCGCCTTGAATATCACTGAAAGTCTTAACGCTCCGGAGTTAGAGATCTCATAAGCGTATCATGGATTGATAGGACAAATTGTTTAATAACTCGGCTAAAATTTAACATTATTTTATGATTCAAAGTTCATTTAAAAGATAGAATCAACAGTAATCACATTTTGAACATTGTTTGAATTTTGTCATATTTTATGATAATAAAAAAACCGCGCAAACATTCCTTGGCTCAAAAATTTTCAAATTTTTACAAATTTATTCATATTTTTAATAATATCTAATAGCTTATTTGTCAATTTTTTTTAACAGTTGTTCTTAGGGTGAGTTGTTCTTTCAAGTATTTGTTCAAGCACATTTTAATAAGAAAACAATTATTCGTGAGTGACTTTCAAATTTTGAGACATTTTATCTAGAATCCATCTTTATAAAAATCTTTCTTTCTAGATTTTAACACGATCTAATGGCGTGTCTGTTTCAAACCAACTGACCTACTCACGAACCAGTTACAGCAAACCACCCAGTATAATAGTGGAGGACATCAGCGATTACGACACCCAGCAATTCATCAATTTGGACACCGTCAGCCCCTATTCTTACTCCAGTTCACCTTGTCACAACTACTCATCCAGCCAGAACTATGGAAGTAGCCAGGAACTGGATAACGGTTGTATGGCCTAACGTTTTTTTTGTTTGAATAAAAATATCTTTTTTTTTTAAGTTTTGTTATACTCTCTGGTATAATGATTTATTCAGGATATTTGGACACATACCGTGCTGGCAACTGTTACTTTTGGGTCGGTATTTACATGTGTGGAAGTAAATCGCATAGGGATCTTATCAAGTCGGAGTGAGAGAAATGCGGCAGTCTGCTGTTGCGGCGTTGCCGGTACACCTTTCCTTATCAAGTAAAGTAAAATCAGATCGCAAACAGCTTATTTTTAAAAGATTTTTTTTTCGAAAAGATAGATTTCGAAATAATATATTTTCAATAGATTTCGAGATATCGATTTTTGAGTTCTAATAGCGCGACCACTGTCGAACACCAACTCAATTCCACTTATTTTTACCAAAAATGCAAGTGTTTCTAACTTGCACTTAAAATTTTTTAAGCTAAAGGGAAAATTACAACGACTCGTTAATAAATAAACAAATAAGTATCACGAGACGTAATTAAATTGTGAATCTGAACGCATGATGTGCACCTTTCCCTAGAACTTCGTACTAGAACTAAGTACTGATAGAGGTACTGATTGGGTCAACCGGTCGAGTGCGACAAATCTGCTTTATCCCTTTCCACGTCTTCTAGCAATGCGCACAGTTTCTCGGTTTATTTCATACGTTTGGCAACGTGTTTACTGTTCTCTCTTTATTCAGTACATTATAAACGCATTGTACTCTTCTTACATACGGAAATCTCGACCCAAGACTAAGCTTTGCCAGCCCTTAGTATAGTTTTCCCATAAGCAACAAGTTTTCTGATGGTATTTCTTGTCTAAGATATATTCTCACCTTGTATATTTGTTCAAATATCCTGAAAACATACTGTATAATATGTTGAACAGTTATATAATATCATAACGTCTTAAAATGTAGAACATAAAGTTATATTTTGTTTTATAATCATTTCTAATTCATCAAATAATTGTTTTCCCGTGAAAGTTAACCAATATATTTCTCTTTTTTTTTTGTTTTAAGTTTTTTTGACCACACGGTATACTAACTTTTTATTCTTTTAAAGAATAATTGTTGAACATATTGTATTTTATTGATACAATCCTTCCACTTATCTGACTTATTAAATATTTTTCTCTTTGCCTATATTTTTTAATAGATATAGTTTATAAGATATATAGACGTATTTTTGTATTTTGTAAGTGTTCATAAAATCTATTATTATAGTGTTTAGAGTCTATTTATGAAAGTAGTGTTTTTTTATACGTTGTAATATTTGTAGGGCAGGCAGTCATCAACAGGTTTACCATTATTTTTACCACGTCAGGTAAATTTTAGTATAGTAACTAATTTAATCAAAAAAAAAAATAAGTAAAATTTCACGCAGACATATCTAATTTTAAACCGTTATACCTTCTCTTTAAAATATATCTCATTGTTTTAATTATCAATAGAATTATTATTGCATTTATTGTAAGAAAAATACACAAATTTACCAAGTCTTATATGTATACATCACGAAAAACTTGTGGTCTTTACAGAAGACTACATTAATATACCTCCTTGGCGAAAAAAATATTCTCTGCATATATTTTTCTAAACTAGACATCAGTTTTCAAAGTTATAACTAATCGTGAATTTTTTTTATCTTATACCTAATTGTTGTAATATTTTTTATTAAGAATATCTTGGCCAGTATGTCGTTATTTTTAAAGCCCTATAATTGGAATGTTACACCCTAATATTTTTTTCTGATATTGAATATTTTTGTTAATATATAACTCAAATTGAAGAACAAAAAAAAGACGTTAAATATACCGTGCTGCTTATAGCACAGTTATCTGTGCTTATATATCACATATCCATTATACAGTGTGGAACTTTGCTCTACTTTTTTTTATACCAAAACTGACTTGATAATAACTCTTTTTAATTACACAGTATTGTTATTATACTATACTTATTATTTTAATACCGAGATCTGACAAACGATCGAAAAAATGGTGTCAGAGGTGGCTCGGAAATAATGTTTTATGAATTATTTTAAGCGTCATTTCCAAGCCAACTTGATGCAATTTTTTTTCGATAATATGTAAATGAAGTTTGACAATGTTTAGTTTTTAATAATGTCGAGTTTGTTTCTTTAAGACTTGAACCAACATTTCTATTACATCAGCATACCATGTGATTGAAAAAATAGGCGTCACATTGAACTCTAAAATGAAAATCGTTTATAATTTCTGTCGTACCAACCTCTATATCTTTTGTTAAAACGTTACGTTTAAACTAATTTTAATATTCAAAAGTTTTCATATTCCACAAAACTGTTGTTTAAATGAATTCTGAAATCTTTTAGTTTTTTCATGCCAATAACTTCTGATCGTCTCTACAGAAATTATGATCGACTTTGTTTCCAAGGCTACTATAACGTCGTTTTTCTCGTTCATACTGTATACGTTACCTATAGGTTGAACTCATTTTTTGATTATACATATATTATAGTATGTCCCCGTGTGGTCTTTACAAGAGGATATAAACATTTTTATTATCGTCATTTTGCGAAAAATGGATTTTTCATAAAAAAATTTGTTTATGCGGCGTGGAAACAACAAATTTGGAACAACCAAATTTTTTATGAAGAATGTATTTTTCTCAAAATGTCAATAATAAAAAAGTTTCTCCTCTTGTAAAGACAATCCGAGGACATACTGTATACAACAATTTTTAAATATTTCAAACAAATTGATGCATTCCAAATAAAAGAATTTTTAGTGTAGACTACTATATAGTAGTAGTTTCTAATATTCTATATCCAGGTAAATAAAATTTATTTTGTTCTACTTTTTTGGTGTACTATTTTATTTGTACCTCTACGAGGGGTGGCTCAATGTTGGAATTACATGTACATTTTCTTGGCAGTCGTTGGCTTCAGTCGACTATAATAATTATATGACAGACACAATCATTGGCAGTAAAATGCTATTTTGGCAGTATACATGTACATTTTTTACTCAAGTCACCCAAGTGAGACACCCCTCTGCCTCTATACCGGGTGCGTTTCAAAAGTGGCTCACCCCTATAACTTTTTTAGTTTTTTAGATAAAAAACGAGATTTGTTATATTAGTATATAACATAAATTTGGATTGATTGACGTATTTAATTGTTTTTGGTCACTTCATGTTTCACTGGAAATGACTACAACTTTTGATTTTTAAATGCCACCCTCGGTATTTTTTTACTTTGTTCGATAGCAAATGACATTTTGAATAGAATGACATATCATATGTCAACTTTTGACATTTTCGCATATGGTTTATTTGAAATTATAACTTGCGGTTCGTAACGAAAATTTGACTCGAAATACCAAGTGTATGGTATCAAATTATTCGTAAAAAAATGCTTTTTCCAAATATGTTAATGAGCCACCCTCGTTCCATTTAAAAAAATTGAGATATTATTAAAAATACGATTTGAGCATTTTCTAACCGGCCAGGACAAGACACTAAAAACATTAGACGATCAAATCTATTTTTCCAAGGCTCCTTGGTTAAGAATTAGTGTTTCTAACATAGCCAGGACACTCTAGATTGAATTTTAAAATACGATTTTTTATTAAGCGAGAATGCCAAAAGTTGACATATGATATGTCATTCTATTCAGAATGTCGTTGTCTATTGAATAAAGTAAAAAAATACCGAGGGTGCCATTTAAAAGTCAAAAGTTGTAGTCATTTCCGGTGAAACAGGAAGTGACCAAAAACAATTGAATACGTCAATCAATCCTAATTTATGTCATATACTAACATACCAAATCTCGTTTTTTTATCTGAAAAAATAAAAAAGTTATATAGAGGTGAGCCACTTTTGAGACGCACCCGGTATATTTTACTGCCAAATTCTTAACTGTTATTTGTCACACTATGTATATTTTATATATTATTATTTATTTGATCCTAGAAATTCTATTTTTCTATCTATGTTTAGTAGTTTTTTTTTAGTATTTTGTACCTTTCTTCCAATCTGGTTGAATAGCATGTAGACTTTACTTGTTATATTTTTTTATATAAAAATATGTACTTTGTATTGTAAGAAATATTTTCTAACTCTACACGATTTTTTAGGTTGTTGAATATTTTTAGAAGGCTATTTTTTAATGTGCTTTTTCTGCGTAAATTGTTGTAGTAGCTTAAGCCAATTATTTACAAATAATTTGTGCTTTAAGACGCTTTTTTTTTTATAAAATATAAGTTATATAAAAAAATCAATTATAACATTTGGAATGCAAAACTGTTTTATTTTGTTTTCTAAAATAAAAAATAAAACTAGTTTTGTAAAAATGCTAAATTTTAAAAGACAACTTCCTACTTAATTTGTTATTTTGTGATAAGATGTAAACACATCTAAAAAATTGTAATATATATAATTGTAAGGCTTTTTACACTGGACATTTTTATTGTGCCATCACATTTTTTATGAACTAACTTTGTATTTTTGTATTAAAACAATTTTTTCATGTTCACTGAAGTTATTCTTTATTATACAGGGTATTTCATGGCAATCTATTATTTTTTTTGGATTCTACACAAAATTTTAAACACATTTTGTTACACATTAGGTTAAAATGACATTTACAGAGCAGAATATATTAAATTTTATATAAGTGCTATTAAATTATGCGAACAATACTGTTAAAAGTCAATTTAGTTCAGTCATTGGGGATTTTTGCTTGGAAAAAAGTCCGGAAGTTTTGCAATTTTGTAGGTTTTTACATTTTGGGGTCCGTAACTAAAATCCATAACATGCACATCTCCAGACTTGCCGCCGGCGCCGCCATCTTGCCAAGATGGCGCCCAAAATCGGTATTTTGTGAATATCTCAAAAACTATGCGTTTTTCGCGAAAATTTGAGGAGAGTAAAGTTAAAGAGAATAAAATTTCTTCGGTTTTATGAAAATTTTCGCTAAGGTCAACCGTTTAGGCACAAAATCCCTGGAAATTTTACAATTTTGCGTAAAATATGATATATTATGTATATATAGTCGATTTTCCGAAATCAAATGTCGATTAGGGTTCACTAAAACTAGTTTTAGTCTAGTTTCTTCAATTTTGTCATAAAACAGTGGCGTATCATTAATTCTGATTCTGATTAGAGGGATTTTGTGCCTAAACGGTTGACTTTAGCGAAAATTTTCATAAAACCTTTTTTATAGGAAATTTTATTCTCATTAATTCTGCTCTCGTCAAATTTGCGAATTCAATTTTTTTTCAAATTCCCTTCAAATACCGATTTTGGGCTCCATATTGGCAAGATGGCGGCGCCGGCGGCAAGTCTGGAAATGTGCCTTTTATGGATTTTAGTTAGGGACCCCAAAACCTATAAACCTGTAAAGTTTCAAAACTTGTGGACTTTTTTCCAAGCAGGCCCCTTTTTTGATCCCCAATGACTGAACTAATTATTTTAGATGAAAATCCCCATTTCCTTCGTATTTATGCCTCTATCTGTAACTGTATAACTGTTATGAACAAGATGTGTGAAACACCCTGTATTGTATGGCACGTTTATATTATTATTATTTAAGATTTTTTTTTAACATTTTTTCATTGAAGGCTTATGAAATTAACATTTAGCACAATTTAAATAATATTTTAAGGTGTTACTATTTTTTTCTTTCATAAGTCTTTGTTTCAAATCAAAATTATACGCTTCTATATTAAATCTTTTTGTTATGCTTTTCTACTTCGATTTTACATAAGTTACCTGTAGAAAATATACGGGTCATTGAGCTAAAAACACACGTTACATTGTTTATTATATAGTGCCTTAATATATGAATTCTAACAGAAATTGTATATTTACAACATGGATTTTATTTTCAAAATATATTTATAATTTAAAAATTTTGTTGTTTTATTTATTCTATCATGTAGTTTTTTAAACTATTATTCCTACATTCTCTATTTTAAAATACAATATTGTTCTCAAACTCTACACTTGAAATCATAGAGTTAAAAATTAAAACTTGAAATGTACAGGGTGGGTCAAATTGGACGCTATTAAATGGAAATACCCTTTTCCATAGGAGATAGACGAAAACTAATATCGGTGTCTGGAGCTCAATTTTTATCAAAAACATGATGGTGAAAACCGCATATCGATATCTGTTACCGTTTCGGAGTTACGGGGTGTTTTTTAAAATGTGCATTTTTAACAAATCGCTGTAACTTTTTTGCTATGGAAAATTTTGTATTTTTATGAAAACATTCCCAAAGCATCTTTTTACGTAGAATTTAATGGTTTAAGTATAATTTTTTTAAAATTAATAATTTAAGAATTATCAACAGAAAATTTGATTTTTTGACACCCTCTATATTTTTAACTAATTGAAAATAATTTAAAATTACCTTTCCAAAAATATAGCATACTTGATATTTTGCTCAATTTCTCTTCGAGATATAGAGTTTGAATGGCGCCGGCTCTAATGCAAAAAAAACTAGCCGGTGAGCAGCAATTAAAACGAAAATAATATTTGCAATGAGAGATGCAGAATTTTATAACAATTTAAACTATATTTAACCAACATTAACACATTTAAACTATATCTAATGACAATAAAAATAAATAGCAAACCGAGACATGAGATTTTGCTTCAGGTGTTCGACATATCGACCGTCTTCTGTTATGGACAAGCGGGGCGGTTTTTGAACATTTCTCGCGAAATTCATTAACTCAGTGGGGGTGAAAGGTACCCTCTCATAACTGCTAAGTATTTTTAGTTCTTGTCTAGATTATACGGAAGAATAAGGAACCGTTATTCTTCCGCAAATATATCCATAGAATTAGATCCATCGGCACTAAGTCAGGCGGCCTCGGCGGCCAACGGGTGGGATCTTGTTTAGCTATCCAATTATTCTTGAAATTGGCTGCAAAAATTTGCTGATAACTTCAGCGTTCAGAGGCGGTGCGTCGTTTTGCTGGAAAAATATGTTTTCAAGTTCCATTAAGGGCTTATTATCTTATAAGGGGTCCAAAGCCTTCTAGTTAAAAGTGGCGAACTTTTAAAAATTCTGTATTTCGAAGGGGATTATGACAAAATATCAAGTGTGCTATATTTTTGGAAAGGTAATTTTAAATTATTTTCAGTTAATTAAAAATATAGAGGGTGTCTCAAATAAAAAATCAATTTTTCTGTTGATAACTCTTAAATTATTAATTTTAAAAAAATTATACTTAAACCATTAAATTCTAAATAAAAAGGTGCTTATTTTCGTACAAATTGCTTAAAAAATCACCAAATCGGTCTCCTAGAACACAATATAAAAAACTTTAAACTACAAATGTTGGTTATGCAACCAGTTATATACTTAGGTTATATACCCCTCTAAGTTCTAATATAAAAATGTTGACTCTGTGGAAAGTGGAAAACCAGAGAATGGAAAACTAATTCACTGATTTTCAGTATAGGAAAAAAGAAATATGCTTATATTTTTTGAGGAAAAAGAAATATTCAAAGTAACATATTTATAGAAAATAGTTTTATTGATGCCTTAAGACAACTAAAACTAATAATACATCATAACCAGATGATACATCCAATTACTTTGAAAAATTGATACAAAATAAATAAACTATGAATAAAAAATAGTTGCAGATTGTGTATAACAAAAAAAGCGTCTTTTATGATCCTACAATAATATTATTAATTGGGATATGGATAAGTTTCACAAAAAATCCAATAAATCCCATAATACAAAATCCGATGGCAGTGGCTATTGCTATTTTTTGAAATTCTGTAAAAAAACATAAATAAAATGCTTAGATTAAACACAATTATTAAGTAATAACGGTCAAGTCTTAATTTACAACAGAGTTTAAATGAGAGTTGTGGAATGTTCGATGGTATTAACCTAGATTCAATATTATTAAATATTTACCTTTTCTGTCTGGTTTTGTACATCTTTTTACTAATCTAATGGAGTCCTTAGCAAACTGACGACCTGGCTCAACGAATTTAACGATTTGATCCATATCTCTGTAACAAAAACCACCTTAAACAATATTGAATATATTAACTTTTAGATTAAACAAATATGTTAAATAGTAGTGATACAAACTCATTTAAATATAGACACTAAATCGGTATATATTAACACTGTACATATAATAATAATTTAAAAAATCCAAACAAGAAAATATCAAACAAATTTTTGATTTGCTTTTAAATTATTTGGGCATTATTCCAATAATTAAAACTATTAAACAATATAATTATACATAAGAAAATGCATACAGAAAGAGAATTATTAAAGAATATTACCTTGTTGAATTATGCTGACTGCAATGTCGAACAAAACCTATAAAATTAAATATAAAATTTAGAAAAACTCTTCCAAATCAAACTTTCCGGCCACGAAGACACAAAATTCAATGACGTGTCCATATGCCGACGGTACGTCATATATTTGCTGCTATAATCGGCAACCGGCAACGTACGTTTCGGTACTTTCAAATTTTAGGATTCGATTATGTTAATTCCGACCACAGCTTTTAATCAATAACAACTTTTTATAATCAATGGTTATGTCACATTTATTATTTATTGTTCTATGGTAAAGGTAGATGACATATGACATCTGCGAACTGTCAATTTTTTTGAGAGCTGTCGTTTTTGTTTAGTTATCAAATTTTTAAAACTTGGAAATTATTCTCCAGTTATTTCAATAAATTATTCAGTACGCTGATTCATGCATCTATTGCAAATTAGAACAGTAACTTTTATTGCGTGTTACTAATTCATTTTACTATTCAAGACAGACGTGACACGTATTCATTTAGAGATGGTAAGTTAGGTCTACAATTTTTTTAAAATTATCCGTTCATATACTTGTTTTACTGAATTTTAGTCCCAAGTGCACGAATATCGAGTGGCGATGACTTGCGAAGGTTGTTCTGGTGCAGTAGAACGTGTGTTAGGGAAACATAAAGGTATATTGTAGGTTTTATGAAAAAAAAACAGACATTAAAAGAAATATTAAATTTTCAATTATAACTTTTGACAGTGCACTACAATGGCAGTAATTCGTATTATAAATTAAAAGATTTATCATTTAATAATCCTATGACAAAGAATAATTGTTTATATTTAGCTATATAATACTGTACACACAGTTAATTCATTCTAAAAACAACTGTGTCTATATATAATACAAAATTAGAAATTAGTAATTGAAAACATAATGATATTCAATTTTGTGTTATAGATAAGATTGCAAACGTTGAAATCAATTTAAAGGAACAACAAGTAAAAGTAACTACGACTCTATCAGCCAATGAAGTTTTGGAACTTATAAAGAAAACTGGAAAAAATACTGAATATATAACGTCTTACTAGACAACTTATACCTTATTGTATTTTATATATTATTAAGAAATTTGTTCAAATATTTTATGTGTATCTAATGTCATTTGTAATGCCTACTAAAAATATTCCTTATTTATTTTTAATATTTATATTTATTGCAGCTAAATTTTATACAGTTATATAGTAACAATAAATAAATATATCATTAAAGTATCTTTATTTAAAAAGTGGGTTCTTATTTTGTAGTGGTTTATAGTTAAAAAGTTATTTCAAATATGTCTGTTTATCAGGTACATTTTCTTTATTGGTAGCTTGAATTAATTGAATGTACTGTAAAAGTTTTGCTCTATGAAGTTCCATTCTTTCTGTTTTGAGATTCTCAAATTCCTCTACGTTCTCGTTGCATTGTGTTTTTGGAAATAGCGGGATACTAATTTTACTGGGACCTTCTTGTTCGTAGGTATTTATCTGTAATATAAAAAAATATTGGGTTTCTTCTAGATTAAAGAAAATTAATATAAACCTCATCAAATACATCTGCATTATCATCTCCAGCAATTCTTTTCAAGTAATAACCCACATTTTCATTTCTGTTTCTTGACAATGATTTTTTTAAAACAGACCACACTGATTCTAAAATAAAATATAATTAAGTATTTATGTATTTTTTATTATATATAGTTTCATAATATTATTACTTCCTCTGTGGCCATGTCCTTTATCCTGAAAAGTAAATAATGATATAAATAATTTAACTTCATCAAATTGTCAAGAATTTAGAAAAGAATGATACCGGACCTCTGGAATGATCCAATCTTGGTCTGTCTTTTTAATTTTAAGATTTTCAGCCGATTGTACAGGCGTTTCTTTCATATACTGTTGAGAAGCTATAGTAAAAGGTAGGGTGTCTGGCGCTGTTTGTTGCCAATAGTAATCTTTCATTAGCTTTGGATGATCTTGATGAATTTTATCCACCAAAAGATAGCATGTCTGAAATTATTATACATATAATTCTTTTACTTTAAATAAGAATATATATTTTTGTAATAAGTTAAATTATACAGGGTGAGTTTTAAATAAGTGCAAATATGTTAGAAGTAGTATATTTCGACCTCAGAAACACGACTATGAGGTATTCCGCGCAAAAAAATGTAAATTTGGATTTTTTTGGATTTTTTTTTAGTTTTTAGTTAAAAACATACTTTTTTGGTAATATGGCAACATATGCAGTATATTCAATTTACAAGAAAGAAAACCCAAAAAATATCCAGTGGTTCTCAAAATTTTAACCAAAAATATTTTTTTTCGAAATTTTCAAAGTGAAATAACTCGGTTATTTAGGATTTTTTTGAAAAACGGTAAAGAGAAAATATGTTTCTTTTATCGAGATCTACCAGTCCTGAAAATATTTGTACTTATTTTAAGACTCACTCTGTATACAGGGTGCTATAAATTCGAGGTACGAGCATTGGTATCTCAGTAACCGTAATAGATACGAACATGGTTTAATTGGGGCAAAGTTGTGCTTTGGGATGTTCACCAAGATGCCATCAAATTTTTTTTAAAAATTTCAAGGATTGCTGAGTTTTTTGAAAAAAAAAAACGATTTTTTTGAAAATTAATTTTATTTTTTCCTGTCGTTAGTTTTAAGAAAATCAAAGAACTAATTACACATTCTCATAGCCACTTTATAAGGGCTATCTGATAGTATTTTTAGATTTTCAAATTAGCTGATAATTTGTGAGATACAGAGGCCAACTTAATTTTTTTAAGCACGGACCTGCATTTTTTATTTCAGATTTTGAAAGAACTCGGTCTCCTGCGTACAATGTTATGCTACACTTAATATTTTTTTTTGTTTCGGATATTTGAACACAATTTATTTAAACTAATTTCAAGTACGGCTCTGTTTTTTTTAATATTTAATCTATTCATCGTTACAACATTGATAAGCCTTCAAACTTAACAATGACGTGGGCTAAAACATTTAATATGGAAAATCAAATGCAATAAAATAATAAAAAATAATATACAAATGAATACATATTACTTCACTTCATTTGTGAAATCAAAAGTGAAATCAATATATCTCAACATTTACAATAAAGAGTACAAAATACATTGGGAAGTATAAGAAGAAAGTTCAAAGAGCTATAAATAAAATTGAAAAATAAATGTGTGCAATAGGGAGGGTGGCAACCCTTTCGAACATGTAGAGCATTAGAAACTAGTTTGTAGAAGTTAGTTTATTTATAATAACTACGATTAATATTACGCATATTATTAGATGGCACATTGAGATTTCAAATTCACAATAAAAAAAGTTAAAAATAATATCTTTAAATTGCTCACCTGGATAAAATTTATTTGAATCTTCAAATTGGCTCGATTTTTCTTATTCAATGTTAATTAGCGCTGATCAATATTGTTGCGATGAATATAATCAGATCAAATAATTTAAAACAGAGTCGGACTTGAAATTATTTTAAATAAAAATTAAAGAGTTTTATTGTTGTTAAGGTACCCAAAACAACAAAAAAGTATAAAGTGTGGCATATCATTATACTCAGGAGGCCGAGTTCTTTCAAAACCGGTAATAAAAAATTCAGGTCTGTATTTAAAAAAATTAAGTTTACCTTTATATCTCATAAATTATCAGCTAATTTGAAAATCTAAAAACAATATCAAATAGCCCTAATAAAGTGGCTATGAGAATGTGCAATTAGTTTTTTGATTTTCCCAAAAGTAACGACAGGAGAAAATAAAATTCATTATCAAAAAAATCGTTTTTTCCAAAAAACCCAGCATTCCTTGAAATTTTTAAAACTTTTTTAATGACATCTTGGTGAACATCCCAAAGCGCAACTTCGCTCCAATTTAACCATGTTCATATCTATTACGGTTACCGAGATCCCAATGCTCGTACACCGAATTTGTAGCACCCTGTATACCGTTGCTTGTCAGAATTAATTAATAGTTTTTAGGAATGCCTTTGACCAATTTTTTTACAACTATGTTCTACATGCCTGAATATGTCTATCTATCATCCAAACAACTTCAAAATCGTCGTCGTCCTCTCCAAATGGATTGATTAAAGTTTCAGCTACTTTCAGCCAACCCATATAAAAGAAAAATTCTAGTACTGGCATAAATGGAAAATTAAACAGTAAGTCGTCTTTTGACGTAATAAATTGATTCCCTATAACTGTTATTAGGAAGTAGCTGTAAACTGCAATGGTGACTACCTATAGTACGGAATGAAATAATGGAATTTGTAGAAATGTTTAATAGAACTTAACCTGTGTATAAACTAAGGGTATACTTATCCAATCATAAGCTAACATATCACCACATTTTCCTCTGAATATGTTTATGTGGTCTATGATACTCTTTACAGACAAATCCTCTCTAATAATGCCTTCATGTCTAGCTCTAGTTGTAACGTTGGCAGCCCAAGCAAGTGGTAGCCTGATAAAATAAAAATATTAAAAAAAAATATTACATAATACAGGGTGCTACAAATTCGAGGTACGAGTATTGGTGTATCGGTAACCATAATAGATACGAACATGGTTAAATTGGGGCAAAGTTGCGCTTTAGGATGTTCACCAAGAGGCAATCAAAAAAGTTTTAAAAATTTCAAAGTATTGCTGAGTTTGTTGGAGAAAACAGATTTTTTTGAAAATCAATTTTATTTTTTCCTGGCGTTACTTTTTAGGAAATCAAAAAACTAATTGCGCATTCTCATTGCCACTTTATTAGGGCTATCTGATAGTATTTTTAGATTTTCAAATTAGCTGATAATTTGTGAGATACAGAGGCCAACTTAATTTTTTTAAATACAGCCCTGCATTTTTTATTTTAGATTTTGAAAGAACTCGGTCTCCTGAGTACAATGATATGCCAACACTTAATATAATTTTTTGTTACATACATTTGAACATAATTTTAATAATTTATTTAAACTATAATTTCAAGTCCGGCTCTATTTTTTTATAAGATTTAATCTATTCATCGTCACAATATTGATAAACTGTCAAACTTAACAATGATGTGGGGTAAAATATTGAATACGGAAAATGAAATGCAATAACTAAAGGGGATTACTTGGCGTCATTTATAAAAGTGAAATCAATACATTTCAACATTTACAATAAAGACTACAAAATGCATTCGGAACTATAAAAATGGGAACTCCACTGGGAACGATATTCGCTCAGTAGTCAGCTAAGTTTTCGTATTGTATCTCTGCTATCATCGAACTAATCGCTGCGAAAAATTCGCTGGAACCTGTCACGAACTAAAACGAGCGAAACTAAACTACGAGTCGAATCTTCGTTCATATATTTTCGTTTTGTTTCGCTCAAGTAGCCGCTGAAGCATTAAAAAGTATGGAAGCTGATTTTTCCAAATCTTATCTTCGCTTGGTTTAGTTTAGTTTAGCTCTCCACTGCGAGCGAAACTAAACTAAGCGAAGATAAGATTTGTAAAAATCAGCTTCCATACTTTTAAATGCATCAGCGGCCACTTGAGCGAAACTAAACGACAACATATGAACGAAGATTCAAATCGTAGTTTAGTTTCGCTCGTTTTAGTTCGTGACAGGTTCCACCGACGCAGCAGACTACTAAGCAAAAATCGTTCCCCGTGGCCGATGAAACTTATTTTCGTTTAGTTACCGTTTCTTTTTATTTTCTTAGCTTAGTTTAGTTTCGCTCGCAGTGGCCGCCTGCCTTAACATGAAGTTATGTTCAAAGAGCTATAATAAGATTGAACAAAAAATAAGTTTTTGTGCATTAAGGAGTGGTAACCCTTTCGAACATGTAGAGCTTTAGAAATTATATAGTTTGTAGAAGTTGATTTATTTATAATAACTACGATTAATATATTATGAATATTATTAAATCGTATACTGAGAATTCAAATACACAATAAAAAAAAAGTTAAAAATAGTATCTTTAAATTGCTGACTTGGATATTATTTATTTGATCCTTTCAATTGGCTCGATTTTCCTTATTCAATGTTAATTAGTTCTAATCGATATTGTTACGATGAATATAATCAGATTAAATGATTTAATAAACCAGAGTCGTACTTGAAATTATTTAAAATAATAATAATTAAATAGTTTTGTTGTTGTTAAGGTACCCAAAAAAAAAGCATAAAGTGTGGCAAATCATTGGACTCAGGAGACCGAGTTCTTTCAAAATCTGAAATAAAAAATGCAGGTCCGTATTTAAAAAAGTTAAGTTCACCTCTGTATCTCACAAATTATCAGCTAATTTGAAAATCTTAAAGTACTATCAGATAGCCCTAATAAAGTGGCTATGAAAATGTATAATTAGTTTTTTGATTTTCTAAAAAGTAACGACAGGAAAAAACAAAATAGATTTTCCAAAAAATCCGTTTTTTCCAAGAAACTCAGCAATCCTTGAAATTTTTATACCTTTTTGATGGCATCTTGGTGAACATCTCAAGGCGCAACTTTGCCCCAATTTAACCATCTTCGTACCTATTAAGGTTTCCGAGATACAAATGCTCGTACCTCGAATTTGTAGCACCCTGTATATTCTCCGGAATGCTACCAATGTTTTTGATAATTGGGATACTCCTTTTCTAAATCTTCTACAATCTTTTTCTCATCCTGCGTTAAAAGACCAGCATGGACCAAATGATTTAGTGTAGGAAAACGTTTCTTCACTTTGGGTGACATCATTGTCAGGGTAAGAGTGAATGTAACACAGACATATCTTACTATAGTTCTTCGAACAATTCTAGCTCTTTCATCCTTAAAAAAACTGCTTTAGCAAGTAGTTTAATAATTTCTAGTCAAAATATAGTTAATTACTTGTCCCTTGATGCTTGCACCTATTAGTAAAGCTAAATTGTCTGGAAATGGTATAGAGGTGAATTGATTCCACCATCTAGTGTAGACGATGTTGACATAGAAGCCCAGTACAAAACTTAGAGGTATTAAATTGGCATTTTTTGAGCAATATATTACGATTTTTTCGAAATGACTGAAAAAATAAAGTAGTTAATGAAAAAAATAAAGTTGGGTGTTTATTTTTTTAAAGCTTGAAGTCCTGTAATGGACAATAAACGAAGCACTTTTTGATTCCAAAAATACGTAGTCAGTGGCGGATTAAGGGGGGGGGGGGCGGAAGGGGCGGTACGCTCCGGGCGCCGTCTTTTAGGGTGCCTCCGAATCTTAATAAGTATTTTTTTATTCAACTGGCAAACAAGGCCAATATGTGTTCAGTAGTTATAAAGCAGTTTGTAGGTGGAGTATGCAAACCATACGTATACGCCAACTATAAACAGTATAAATGGAAGCAGATGTTTGCTTAATTATCAATTATCAGGCCCCAGTAATTATAAATGGCATTTTCTATTTAGGAAATTAAATCAAGGGGTAATTTTCTTTGTTTAAAATATCGAACAATTATTATTTTTTATATATTTTGAGACTGAATTTATTTATTTTAGCTTTTAAGTTATTTTTCAATGGTTTCATTATTTATTTTTACTGAATAAACATTTTAAATTACAACCAATGCGCAGCATAACTTGTATTCTAGCTTCATTACTGATGATGAGCAGTGAAGTCTTTACTATAACGGGGGCCATGGGCCTGAGACAGCGAAGGGGCCCCTCGGATCTTGGAGGACTTACAAAATCGCGATATTTCCTCGCGGTATTTCCCTGGAAGCATTTTTAAGAAAAAAATATTTAAAATTTTTGGACGAAAAAAACTACCTGCCAAAAAAATTTGTACAGCCTAAAAGTCAAATTTAGTGATTATCACAGCCTCTGTGACATAAAGAAAAGACATGTGGCTATTTCAAAAATTAAATCGTTCAAATGTCATATAATAATGGCGGTAGATGTCATGGAATTGAGCGATTAAAAATTATCTTAAATATTTTTTTTTCAAATGGAAACCCGCTTTTTTTATTTCACTACTGAAAAGGTTTTCCAATTCGTTAAGTTTTAATTAGACATATTCCTATACCTAAAATAAATCGTTTTTAAGTTATTTAAGATTTAGTTTGAAAACTAAAAAAAAACTGCTTAAAAGTTTAAAAAATGTTTTATATAAATATATCTCGTATTTTCGTCCTTTAGTGATATCTAATAGTTGATATTTTAATAATATACCGTACGATCGAAAAAAAAACAGCGCAAAGTTAGCTTGGAAATGATGATCGATAATATACTGTCATAGGCTACTGGTTAAAATCAAGAAAAATTTACGCTTTAAACCTAAATCTTAAATAACTTTAAAACGATTTATTTTAGGTACAGGAACATGTATAGTCAAAAAGTAACAACTTTTGAAAACGAAAGTAACGAACGCCTTTTTAATCGCTCAATTCCATGACAGCTACGGCCATTATTATATGACATTCGGACAATTTAATTTTTGACATAGATAGCCACATGTCTTCACTTTATGGTACAGTGGCTGTGGCAATCACTAAATTTGACGTTATTGACGTTTAAGCTATATACATATTTTTGACAGGCAGTTTTTTTCTCCATAAATTATAAAGATTTTTTTTTCTCAAAAACGGTTAACGTTAGGTATAGAGTGTTTAATATCAAAATTTATAAAATTTTACAGAAAATTTAAGTATGTAATAAAAAATGGGGTCACCCATTTAAAATAAGAAAGTTGCTGTCAACTTCCGGTACTTTCGAAAGTTCTGCCATATTGAAAATATTTTTAATCGATAGATCTCATTGTAAAACAATGATATTCACAAATTCTCGTATCTAGATATTGTAGTTTTCTAGAAACTTCTAACGCAGAACGCAGGCTCAGCCTGGGACACCCTGTATAAATACTTGAATTTTGTCAACCATTATACATACGTCATTCAATTTTTATAAAATGTGCGTTAGAAGTATATCATTATCTAAACAGACCGGGGGCGGGGGCCACATTTAGCTTCGCCGCCCCGGGCCCCCGACAGGCTTAGTCCGCCACTGTACGTAGTAGTTCAGTTACTTCCGGAATATTGGGACACCCTGTATATTAAAAGATTACAGGAGATAATACAATATGGCAACATCGAAATCTAAATAGAAGAGATATAGGCACAGATAAAGGTTAAAAATTAAAAACAAAAAATTCATAGAGTATAAAATGGTCTTTTTAGGGTTCCTTACCCAAGGGCTAAAAACGGGAACCCTATTAAGACTTCGCTGTCCGTCCGTCCGTCTGTCACAAAGGTCTATCTTATGAATTGTTATAGCTAGACAGTTGAAATTTTTACAGTTAATGTATCTATGTTTCCGCTATAAGAACAAATACTAAAAACAATTAAATAAATGTTTATAAATAAAAAAGTACTTTCACTAAACATTATCTTTTAAGTAAGAATTTTACATAGAATCTTTCAAGTCCTCGGTGTTAGGACTTTACGCTGCTATGACGTTGGAGCCGTAGTAAGGAAGGTTCGAATCCTAGTCAAGGCGACTTTTTTAATCGTTTTTTTAAATTTTTACATATTTTTACTTTTTACATATTTATTATTGATTAATACAATTTTTAGTAACGTGTTTCTTCATTTTTTTTAAATTACTTATACGCGTATTCAAAATTTCAGCTAAATCGGAAAAAAGTTTATAATAATATTGTGTCTAATGATAATGAATGGCACGAAACCCTTCGTGCGCGAGTCCGACTCTCATTTGATCAATTTTTTGGGGTTGTGATGGGATCTATGTGATTATATTTATTAATCAATTATATGAATTACTAATAACTGTAGTACTACTTTTTTGTAGTTTTATTAAATTTATTATATTTAAAGTTATCAGACTTTTTTAACTAAATCCTATAATCCAATTCTGATGAATATAACTGATATAAAAGTTATGGTTAAATATACAGAGTCTTAAATAACTGCAAATATTTTCAGAGCTGGTAGATCTCGATAAAAGATAAACATATCTTTTCATTATTTTTTTTAAATAAGTTCAAAATAACGTAGTTATTTTACTTTAAAATTAGAAAAAAGTGGGTTTTTTGCTTGAATTTTCAAAATCACTGGATCTTTACTGTGTTTTCTTTTTTGTAAATTTAATCTACTACCTATATATGTTGCCAAATTATCAAGAAATTATGTTTTTTAACTGAAAACTAAAAAAAAATCCAAACATTTTTTCAAAAAATTTGATTTTTTTTCGCGAAAAAATCGTGTTTCTGGGGTCCAAATATAGTACCCCTAAATATGTTTGCACTTATTTAAGACTTACCCTGTATAAATAAAGAGTCAGGAATTTAAATATTGATATTTAAAGAAAATTTATATTTCTTAGATACTCTGTGGATAGGATTAAGAATTCCGAAGTGATATATCATATTTTTTTTCATTTTTATTTAGATATTGCTTTAATCTTATAAGACCAATATTTGTATAATATTATGCTATAGATTAATGCAAGATCATAATTTTGAGAATCGAAAATCTATAATAACATATAATATCCCTACAATATTAATAAATGAAATTCAAAAATGTTTATATGTACTTACGTTTTGGAAAATTCATTCATGGCATACACGTAGCTAAAATTGAGTGCATAATATATGGCTAAAAATAATATTAGATCTCCCCATACTATTTTGTAAATACTGCCTTTCCATCTACAATTTAATAAAGAATAATAAAAAACATATTTTATTTTATTTCTAAAATTTTAAGAATTATTATTAAACAGCACCTTCGCCTTTTTGTCATTAATATACTTGGTGTCTCATATTATACCGAAGTTTGCTGAATATTCTGTATAAATTGATTAAATTATGTGAAGAATTTATAAAATGAACGATATTATTTTTTCATTGACATAAAAAATATTTGTAAAGTTTATTATTTACTTCAAAAAGTATAAAGTTTGCACCCAACCACTCTTTAACTTTTAAGTTATTGTAAATATTAATTTGTAATAAATGGCGTATGTAAAATGTAGGTATAGGCAGGTACAGGAAGAAAATGGTTATTTCAAAGGCCACTGAGACGCATTTTTTTGATCGTATGATATTTTTTAGCGCTGAATAGTAAACAAATCAATAAAAAGACTGAACAATACATAGTAATTTGTTAATAATTGTTCTATAATAATTTAATTCTATATAATTAAGCGACCACGTGTAATATTTAAATTCACTTCAAACAGCGCACATAGGAGTATTTATGGCAAAAATGCGCGCAAAATTATTTTATTATTTTTTTCGGTCTAAAACACGTTTACTTAATTAAAAATATAATTCTAAATTACATTTTATATTTAAAAAAAAAATACTATTGAACTCCGTCTTATATACAGGGGGTTTCACAAACGTCTCCAAAAAAATGTGGATTGGTATTTTGGATTAAAAAACATACCAATTTTTTTAAAGTAAAAATTATAAATGTGATATAGTAGTTTTTGGTTAAAGATATAATACAGGTACGTATAAAAAGTAATAAACGAAGAAAAAGAAAAGTAATAAAGAAACAATATGCGAAATTAAGTTTTTCGCAATATGGTATACTCTGAATAAAACAAAGAAAACTTAATTATTTCAAAGGAATTAGTCAGTCCTCGTAATCAAAATCCTGATCAATATCATCTACTAGGTTTTCATCACCCGATTCATCATCTAATACTTGATGGACGATGCTGCTGTGTGGTGGATCTATTGCCACCATAAGATCCAATGCTTCTTTCGAAAATGGCTTTCTTTTCTTTTGATGCTTTGGACGGATAAAGCTTAGATATGGATCCGAAGTTAGCAGTAGTCTGTTTAAAATATCTCGGTTACACTGCTCACGCAAAAATTTTCTTGAGAGTCCAAGCCTATACTGCCGAAAAGTTTTATTGCGAGCCTCTGCTGCCTCTTCCGACAACTGTCCTATTGGAAGAATTGCGTGACTTATTACTAAAAAAATACTCAGTAAAGTAAATTATTTTAGTTTTTTTTTAATCGGCAGCTTAACAGATAAATGTCAACTTCACTTACATTGATTAAATTAAGAATTTACTCTTAAATCATTTTGTTATGGTCGTTGAGCAATAACAGTGCATTTTCAGTTTATGGTGAGCATTAAATCATTAAAAACAAAAGGGCGCACGGAAGCGCAGTTTTTTTTAATTTGATTTTTTCAACAACATCCTTAGCTATAGTATCGCAAATAATGGTAAGATTGACAAGACTTGACAACTAAAAAAAACCTCTAATATATGCGTTTTTTTAATAAATAAATTGCATTCTTATAGTTTTCTCTAACTCACATTTTCTGGCGAAAAAAATATAACAAATTCATTAAAATCAAATAAAAATAATCAACATACCTTGGTCTTCCATATTTAGGTTACGTGTTGTCCACAAGTCAGCACACAAACTAACAATTCCAGAAAAATAACTATCAAAAAACGTAACCTTCCAAAACAGAGAAAAATTGGCAAAAATTGGCAGAATTCTGACTAACATACCAGGTGAAGTGTGACACGGTGAGATGTTTGGTATCTGTCATTGGTTAAACCTGTTTCTATGCTAAGAAAATAACACAAATCAAAGCGTTCACGGCCTACTTGATATTATCGACTTTTGCGCGGATTTATGATATAAATACTCCTATGTGCAGCGGTGAGCATTCCAAAAATAATTATAAGTAATTAGTATTCTAAGAGAAACAAATATAACTTTTATAAAGACATTCTTTTGATTGTTAATAAAATCAATTCATAATTTTTTTTTTCTGTTAAAAAAATATAATCAAAATAATATATTTAAACACGCTCTACATTATTCGGAGAATAGAACGAAACAGGCCATGGTTTGATTTCCTTCGCCTAACTTTGTCGCGTTTCGGTTTATCTCCGGTTGTCTTGACCTATTTCGGTTTATCTCGATCTACTTTTGTTTTTTAAAAGAGCCTGAAAACTACTAGTGAAATTGCGGAGAAGAGCGTGGGGGAATTTTTTTAGCGTTTCCTGTCGTCTCGTTCAATTACGTTTCGTTTCGAACTGTTTTCAAAACTTGGCGGTATCTATACCCGAGGCAAAGGACTTTCTTTTATATATCTCAGCGAAATAAGTAGATCTAGATGTTTCTAAAATATCTGTTGTTACCACGATATTTTGTTTCTCCAAAAAATCTTATATGGGTATTTCGCCACTGAAATCTACAAAATAAAATAGTTATTTTTTGTAAACACTTCTGCGTTAATTCAAACGGAAACAACTTGCCAGATGGTATGGTGCTTTTAGACTTGAGCATGCACGCACTGATCCTCCGCGAATGCTCAAGTGTAAACGGCTGTGCGCGCACGCTCACTCTGAATCTGTCTGTACGCGAGCAGCCGCGAACGTGAGCCGTCTGGTGTCGGTTTTTGGTCCGTGCTCAAAGGGATTTTATGTGTGCGCATATAAAACGCTCAATTTGCACCGGCAATTTGTTTTGTCTGCGTTCGTGCGTGCGTGTGTGATTTTTTTTCCTTTTCTTTATTAAAATTATGGAGTGGATCAATGAATCTTCGTTATTATTAATTGAAAAATATGAAAAGTTGCCTATATTATGAAATGTTAAACATTCTTTGTATTATTAAAAAATCAAAAAAATATAACGCATGGCAAAACCTTGTAAATAAAATTAATATTGAATATGTCGATATTAATGAAATTGCTATTCTAAAATTTTTATCTTTGTTCGTAATTTTTGGTGTTTGTAATTTTGTAAATATTCAAAGTCGGACCTGGTCATTCTTGTAAAGTTTTTGAACTGATCATAGCCCTCCTCGGACACTAAGTTGTTGCAGTAAATTATATCGATTTCTAAAAATTTGGGTTTGCCACCAGCGACAATGTTTTCGATTTTTCTTCTTTTTAATAATTAAGCTGTGCATAACAATGACTGCAGCCTCGACTATTTCTTGGTCGTCCATTATTTTCGCTAACACAACTCATTCGTCGAAAAATAAGTTTTTAATTTGAACGGAGCCGAGAGCGCGAACGAATGCCGTGCGCGCACGCTCAGCTCGTGCGTGCTCAAGTCTAAACGCACCATTAGGTTTACAGATATACAAATTTGCCTAATGAACAAAAAAATGCCTAACGTTTCCGAAAGTTTATCTCTTTCCGCCGGCGCCGTCGGAAGCAAAAAAAACACAAAGAATAAAGAAAAAAATATTTAAAATATTTAAATTCAACTATTCGAGAGCACTTTAGTTTTTTAAAACAGATACGTTTACAAAAAACCGTTGACGTTCTGTTAAAATGACATTATATGTAGTTGTCTCTGATTACATCAAGTTAAACTTCAAAATTAACAATTACTACCTGATAACAATTACTCAATAAGGTAAAACCAAAAGTTCTGAACTTTCTGTATGATTATTTTTTATTTTTATTTTAACACAGAAGTGTTTAAAAAAATAATTATTTTATTTTATAGATTTTCTTGCAGTGGCGAAATACCCATTTAGGATTTTTTGGAGAGATGAATCCGCCACATCGGTATATACATTTTTTACAATTCAGATATTTTGTTAATTACATCTCGTTTTATGTTGATTTATATTCTACACAATTTCTATAATATATGTACAGAGTAGATATTTAAGAACAAAACTAATAAAAAACTAACAACCATCACGGCGTGTCTCGGTCTATTTTCGATCTATTTCGCAGTTCGCGGCCGAGATTTCTCGCAACATAGCAGAGTGTACTTCTGAAAGTATTTCGAGAAATGCTTCGCGAAATGTTTCACGAAATATTTAAAGAAATATTTTGTGAAACATTTCGGGCATAGTGTAGAGGGTGCTTACACTTAATAGAATGCGCTTAATCTGCGCTAAGATCAGTTTCTAAGGAACTTAACTCATCAACCCCTAGAATGGTCTATTATGCCCTTTTTGAGTCTCATCTTCGTTATGCCCTTCCATTCTGGGGTACTTGCTGCGCGACAAAATTTGATCGTATTTTCAAACTTCAAAAGAGAGCAGGTCGATACCCTTATTGGGATTAAACAGTAGAACTCACTGCCAGAATTTCTTTAAAAACTTCAAAATACTGATTCTTCCTTCCTTATTCATTTTTGAATCCGTTTGCTTAATCCGCAAGCACATATTCTCTATTCCGGAAAGGCCTTCTCACAACTATCCATAGGAATTCGGAGCACGATATTTATCTGCCAACCCCGAGCTCAGAACTAGTTAAGGGCTCAATACTGTACAATGCCAAGAAAATGTACAATCATTTGCCTTCCAATATCAAGTCACTTTCATTCTTTCCCGCATTTCGCAAAGCTCTGAAATCATACTTACTGGAGAGAGCCCTATATGCGGTAAACGACTTTTTTGTTGATGTTTAATCATGAACAATTTTGAATTTTAAAATTTTGATCATCTCATACACTGGTTAAAGGTCTAGTATTTAATATTTTATAACTCTTGATTTTATGATATATAACATGATTTACAGTTTTCCTTTTGTAAAATTTTCTAGATACGCCTGTGTTCTGCAATGTCCATATATGTTTTATTTGTAATTTTATGACGTAAATTTTTTTGAATTGATTTGTATTGTATGACATTTTTTTTATTATTTGTATATTTGTTTTTGAGCTTTTTTGTTTTGTGAATGCTTTGTCGATGAAGCTGTTTTGGCTTTTTGTACAATAAAGCGTTGTTTTTTTTTGTTTTTTTTTTAATATATTTTGTGGGATTTTTTTTTATAAATTTATAGTAAATAGTAAACATACTTTTTAGAAATAATGTCTATCTATACATTTGTGGTCTATATTTTGCTACTGATAGAGAAATCAAAAATAAAACTGGTTGGATTTAAACATTTTAAAGTTTTTTTTTATAGAGGGAGAGATATACCCTTAAAATTTAAAAAGTTTTTATTGCTTAGGCAAATTTGTTTACATGTAAGGTTCTGTGAACGGGATTCCCGTTTAGATCTAACACAGTGACAGTTTCGAAAAAAGCTTGTTTTATTTTTGAGATTTATTTTTCAATGGCTAAATAATTTTCCAGATAACTTACGTAGTTATGTACAAAAAATATTCACGTAAAGAAAAATAGGTCAAATTTTGTTTACTCACCGTTTTAACAATTTTATAAAACATCCTATACCGCTGCTGGTTGTAACTTCACTCGTGTACGTAACTGTCATTTTTTTTGTTTTTTTTATTTACCTCTATGTCATATTTACATAATCAATTTTAAATTGACAAGTTTACTGTTCTATTTATTTAAAATTAGAATAGGTTGCGTTGTTCGACTGTGTGCGAGACTGAGGCATGTGCATTGTCTGTTTGACATATTACTAAATATGCTGATACTTCCACATAATATTGCCGGTAGCCTTATTTTTAGATTGAAAGATCGTAAACGTATTATAAATCTATCTGATAATGTATGTATTTAAAAATAACGAAATCTTTTATCTAAAGATAATCCTTTATTGATGGTAGTGGCACTTTTGAGGCGTTAAAAGCACAAGATGAAACACCGATGTACAGAGTGATTCAAAGTGGACGTTTTAGTACATAAACGCACAGAATATCTAGTTGCGTAGCTAGATATTCTGTGATAAATGGTAAATACAGAGTTGGATTTGAAAATCTGAAAATACTACTATCTATACCGGGTGCGTCTCAAAAGTGGCTCACCCCTATAACTTTTTTATTATTATAGATAAGAAAAAACGAGATTTTTGTATGTTAGTATATGACATAAATTAGGATTTATTGACGTATTCAATTATTTTCGGTCACTTCCTGTTTCACCGGAAATGACTACAACTTTTGATTTTTAAATGGAACGTTCGGTATTTTTTTACTTTATTTGATAGAAAATGACACTCTGAATAGAATGACATAAACATATGTCAACTTTTGATATTCTCGCTTAAACAAATTGTATTTTAAATTTCAATCTAGAGTGCCATGGCTGTGTTAAAACACTAATTGTTAATCATGGAACCTTGGAAAAATAGATTTGATAGTTTATGGCTTGTAGTGTCTTGTCCTGGTCAAAATATGCTCAAGTTTTATTTCTATCTGCGAGTTTGAATTTTTAGGAGCTGCGATTTGCGATATTGTTGCGATTGTAATTTTGTGGTCTGCTCAAGCATTTTATAGTACACTGCAATAGAATTTTCTCTCTGATATTATTTATTTATAGAGAAGGTATTATTTTTCTAGAGCCACGATCATAATATACCGAGTGTTTCTCAAGAGTGGTTCACCCCTATAACTTTTTTATTTCTTCTGATAAAAAACGAGATTTGGTATGTTAGTATATAACATAAATTAGGATTGATTGACGTATTCAATTTTGAATTAGTTTTAGTTTTGTATTAGTAGTATTTTAGTATCTGCTATAATCCGAAGGCTCAGCATCATCGAACCACCCTGTAAGTACAGGGTGGCTCGAATTCGACGCTCATCATCGGGATTTCGGAAACCGTAAGAGATACAGGATCGGTTAAATGGAGGCAATGTTGCGCAATTTGATGCTCAATAAAATGTCGTATTGCATTTTTATTTTATATTTTTTTGCATAAAATATTCTGGTGATGGAATTTTCTGTACGAAACGTCGGCAAA